CAATGTGGATATACACAATGTTATATATATATATAGAGAGAGAGAGAGAGAGAGAGAGATCCTTCTTTACGCATCATGACTTGTATAGAGTGACTTTTTTTTTTTTAATGTGTGCAAGGCATTTGTACCATTAGATTCACTCAATTGAATTCCACAAAATAATAAGTTGTGTATCTTACCTTTTCAGCACAAAAGAAAAAACAATGAAACATAATGAAAATAAGGGCATAATCGTAAACCTAATTTTCAAAAAATATATTAAATCCACCTTTCCAAAATCAATAGGACTAATTGGTCTATAAGAAAATCCTTAGAACTAAATGGATCACCATTTCTCAATATGGGATTTATGGGTAAATTTCCTACATAATACTAGCTAATTAGTTTTCCCTAGTTGAATTCAATTATGAGTGCTTGGCCCATAAATCTAAATTTGAATTTTGTTTGTCCAAAAGTCATAAGGACATGCTTAGGCAAAATGACCAAACTATCCATATATATATATATATATTTATCGTACACCTCTATTTAAAATAAAATTCGTATACAAAATCAAGAGCTAGGGTTTTACCAAACTAAGATGAAAGATTTAGAAAATATCAGAAATCGGTGAGCTGAAAATGGTGAGAAGGCACTAAAATGACGAATCTGCAAGTGAAAAAGAGATTGAGTAACGAATTGTGATCAATCAAATGAAAATAAGGCAATCAAAGAGTTGATAGAGGAGAGGCAAATCATACCAGAGAGAGAAAGTCGATTAGAAGTGAAATCACAATATTGCCGCCGTGATCGGTGACTTTGGAAACAAACGACTTGTAAAATCCTAACATCATACGAAAATGTACTCAAAAAATGGCTTTAAGCGTTGCAGCGACGGTGGAAGAAAATGTGACAGAGGTATTGAAGAGACAATAAAATGAGGAGTCAAAGGACTGATCTGTGTATATGTATATATATATACATCCATCTCTTTCTCTCTCTCTCTCTCTCTCTCATCTCTCTATATATATCTGTTTGTATCGTTCAATGATGGTGATGATCTGTTTAGAAACGAAAGATAAAAGTAAATTGGTGAAATTTGTGTGATGGTGTTGGGGACTCAAAGGCTATTTCAAAGGACTCGAGTCTGTTGTTTTCATCTAATTTCAAGCAATCAAATAGAGAATTAACGAAGAAAAGTAAAGATTTCATGAATTTAGATCTGTATCAACAACCTCAATAACAAAATCAGAGCTTTGGCTTAATACAGTACCGCTTGGCGCCGAACTCGTTCTTCACGAGCCCTCATCATCATCGTAAATCATTATCGTTGAATCTGTTCAAAAAGGCTCAAATTTGTTCAATTTTTGTAACAAATAAGTTGATATAGGTTCAAAAATAATTGAATAGATAAAAAATAATTTCAACAGATAGTGAAAATAAACTTACGAATCCAACAGATGGATTATAATTTGGACAGATAAGAAAAAAATTAAGATAAAAATTTGAACAGATAAAAAAAATTAATAGATAGGAAAAAAATAATCTTGGTGAATAATTTTGACATATAGATTTTTTCGATATATAGGTTAATAATTTTGACAGTAAGTTTAAAAAAACTAAACAGATAAAAAAAGATTTGAATGAATAGGTTAAAAAAAGGGGTAAAATTTGAAATAAAATGTCCTCTATTGATGTAATATTTCTCTTAAATTATATTGCAGTGACTTGGGCCTAGACTAGTCAGTTAAGGCAAGAGATCAGTTTGGATCGAATTTAGACAAATCTTTGTATGCTTTAGAATGAAATTGAACACCTAGACTTCAACCCGATTGAATTTATCCAAGTTTCAACCTAAAAAATTGTTGGTCCCATTCATGAGATAAGTCATTAGAGTAAGAGTAGCCAAAAAAGAAAGTACTATATGAAACAGTTTATCCCATCATGAGATAAGTCATAGTAGTAAGAGTGGCCAAAAAAGAAAAGTATAAGCGGTTAGATCAAGTTCAATTTAGATGACTAAAATCAACAAATCACTATTAAAACCAAGGTAAAAAATAATTACAAAAATATATTGCATGAATTTCAATTTCAGTGATTTACCATTGGAAAAATGTAAATGAGAAGTAATACTACATACTTTATACAGTACAAAAATGGTAATGAATTACATATCGCACCATGTATACAAAATTTGAAAATTTGAAAATTGTCATATACTAATGAATGAAAGATGAAAATACTTGAATTTTTTTTTTTAGGAAATCAAACAAGCAAAACTATGGTACACACTCTTAAAAATGTATACCGTATGTTCTTTCAAAACTATACTACAATGATTGGTAACAAAATCACAGTAGTTAATAACTTTTTTCACCATAACAATACGTAATATTTTAATATTCATAACATAATCATAATAGTTCATTATACAACTGTTAGGTTTTTATTCTTAGCAATCCCGTTTGACAAAACTCCTTTCAGTTGTACTTTTATTCGCACTTTTATTTTAGTGAGACTATGAGTTTTTAGATGCGAATCTAACCCAAATTGTGTCTTGCAAAGATGTTTCAGGAGTTAATGCTTTCATGTTTGCCACTTCGCTGACTATGTCGGGGATCGAGCTACCTGGTCAGCTCGCGAGGTCCACGGGCAACGCCCCTTGGCGGGTCTAGGGCAGCCCCCAAGCGAGGTCGAAAGGAAGTGCCCCCAAAGCCAAAAGCAAAATTGCAATCGAAGTTGTTTGGTCGCTCGAGTGAAGGAATGTGCGCTCGAGCAAAGAATCCTTGGTTTCAGAAGTTTTCACTGACTGTAAAAATACTAAGAAGTTGCATTTCTAGCTCGAGCGAGGCTTTGGTGGCTCGAGCGAAGACACTTGAAAAACACGCGTTTTAGTCTCCTCATTCGAGCAAGAATTCCTTCGCTCAAGCGAGCATCGCGGCCCTATTTTCTATAAATATGTGTTTTAGTCCGTTTTTAGGGTTACGACTTCCAGATCTTCTTCTTGGATATTAGGGTTTATATCTAGAGCTTCTTTGCTAGGTTCTTTGATGTTTGTTTGAGTTTCACTCATGGTTTGGAAAATATACATCAAAGGATTGTTCGTTTTGTTCAATACAAAAGAGAGTGTTGTTCTTCGGTGGATTCCGTGGAATTCGGGCCTGAAGCTTTTTGGATTCCGGAGTGGCTCATCGTCGTGATTTGACATCGGCGTTGTGGATTCAACGTTGGGCAAGACAATTCTGAGGTGAAGAGGGGGCTAGAAGAGGCACATAGGGGTCGGTTCGATTCGGGCGTGGATTCGCTAGGTAATTGAGAGTACACTTGTGTAATTCTTTTATGTCTTGTTAATAGATTGTTTTGTGACTTTTGCTCGTGGTTTTTTATCACAATTGAAGGCGCTCCAATTGTGGTTTTTTCACGTAAAATCGTTGTGTCAATTTGTCTTGATTGTTTGATTATGATTGTTATTTACTGCTTAAAATTGATACATAATCACAAATCAATATCTAGGGGATTTTTAGATTTTTCAATAACCTTAATAATTTGTAACTAAAACTCTTTTTTTTTTTTTTTGGTGCTCTAGGGGATTTCTAGATTTTTCAATAACCTTAATAATTTGTAACTAAAACTTTTTTTTTTTTTCTTGGTGCATCCATTCTTAACATAATTATAATAATTTGTATTAATATTACAAAAACTCATAACTATTCTACAAAATAAAGTATATAAGTAAAAATAAAAATAAAAAGTTTGAGAGGGCTAAATGCAATTAAGCAACACATACATCATATAATCACACACATATCCTAGCAAAATAGCAGGGCCAAGACCCCTCCTAACCCCTCCTTCCCTCCGCCCCTAATAATAGATACATAATTACGACAGCGTAATGTATTCTTTTACTTATTAATTAACATGTGGTAGAAGTAGTATTCTATAAGTCACTTTGTATTTGACCCGAGATGTTGAGTGTTCGATCACATCAAATTTTAATCTATTTTTTTATCACATATTAATTAATAAGTAGATCTGAGAAGCCGGCAATGTTGAATTTGTTTTACATCTAGCCTATCCAAAAGAACAAGTCAACTATCCATATAAATCGGCCACCATCTTAACCAAATAGTCGTTAAAAGATAAACTATCAATAAATTCTAATAGTTAAATTTTATTCTCAGTAAAGCCTTGTTTGGGAATATCACTTTTTAGCTTAAAAGTCAAAAAGCCATTAAAAAAAAACCAAAAAACCAACAAATTATATATATAAAAAAAATCAAAGATTCTTTTTTCTCTTTACTCTTCTTCGTACATCTTTTGGTAAAAAATTAAGAAGTCATATCAAACATACTAATTTTTTATCTCATATTTTAGTCAAAAAATCAAAAAATTACTAAAATAGTCTATTTCCAAACGAGACTTAAGTCCAATTGAAAGTAGTCCTCCTAAAATCGTCATTAAAAATAATTTTTTGTTACAATTTTTTATGTATGTTGCTAAAAAATGGCAATTAGTTCGTAATGAATTTTCTAAATTATAACTAAAAGTTAAATTATTGACTTTTTTGTGATTTTTTTTTAAACTGTCGCTAAAACTTATAATTAATAACGTTTTTTTGTGAAAAAATTTCAATTTGATGTTGAAAATTAACAATTAGTGATATTTTTTCAAATATTTTTTAAAAAATACGTTAATTATCACAAAAACATATTAGATAATAAATACACTTATTAAAACTTATACATAAATTTCTCTTGAAAATATATAAATAGTGAATTCTAAAAATACCCCGCAAACACACCCACAAAAATATAATACCACAGAGAACCTAGCTTTCCATGGCCGCACTGCACCTGCTTGTTTTGAGGCCATCCCACGTGACCCTTTTTTCACTGCTTAAAAAAGACCCAAAAAAAAAATGTTAAGTATCACCGTCCGTCAACGAATCCTCTGCCGCGCCTCGAGCCTCCGGGGCAGCTTTCGCTCCTTCTGGTTTTAAAGCATCTTATCAATTCTGGAAGAAAAATAAAAATTTTGGCCCTAGTTTTGCATGAAACTGAATACAGTTGAAGGAGTAATTGAATCTTCTTTGAATCCTTCTACTGCTATTTTTCTTTTCTTTATCTGCTTTGAATCTCTCACAAGTACTATTAATTTCAGTATCTCTTGAGGAATCGAATCTGGTGCACGGATTCCTTTTACGCACTGTTTGGTTGCTTACAAATTGGGGAAAACAAGAAAAGAAAAGGAAATTTTTGATGTACTTGTGTGTTTTCATTTTCCTTTGCCTCATTCTTAATTAGTGACCTTACTCTCTGGATGCAATCCATATAGAATGATAGCTTTTACTTTACCTTCATGCAATAGAGAATTTATTCCTACCTAGGTGTAATCAGATAAAAATAAAATATTAATATAAATATCACTGACAATGATAATAATAATAAAATTCTTCTTGCTTCCACAATAAATCTAGTTGCAGTGATATCTTCAAATGAAACTACAAATTTCATAAAATTTAATATACCATTTTATAGATCATTGAAGTTTTAGATTGTGAATGGTCTTTGGCTGGTTCATACAAAACTTGTGAATAGACTATATATATGTTGGCCATATATAATTCATTTGACCTTGTAAAGTGTAATAAGCGGTAATAAAGCCAAGGTAGAATCTTGAAGGTTGTTTCAATTAAATATAGAACATAATTTTTGGACTTATAAATAGGTCCTAAATTCACATTTTAGGTTGAAAGTATGACGAAAACTTTCCCTGATGTTCTGCAAAGATTTTTTACATATAGCTTGAATTTCTATTGATATTGCAACTAGGACGAGTGATGTAGAGAGAATGAAATGAAGCAATCCAAGTTCAAGAGGATTTGTGTCTTCTATGGGACTAGCCGCGGCAAGAAGAGTAGCTACCAAGCAATCCACATTTACTTTTCTCTCTTCACTTCATTATCTTGGACTAGCCGGGGCAAGTAGAGCAGCTACCGTGCAATCCACATTTGTGTCTTCCGAAGAAGAATTATTTTTAGTGGTTTTTCTTGTCTTAATAACTAAATTCAATTAACGGGGAAAATAAATGGTATATTGGCTTGAGGTGATGCTTATCAGTGTTGGCTTAAAATCTCTGTGAATCAAGAAACCCCTTTCTAGAATATGCAGCGCAATATGCTGTAGCAGCAGCCCTTGCGACATTGGAAAAGGATAAAAAGGATTTGTTACACAAACTACTTTTACAAGGTAATGTTTGATGCTTCATCTTTCTTATTAAAATTAAGTAATTGTAAATATCTAATGTCTCAACTGGATTATTCATGCAGGTCTTGACATTACAATTTTAGGTTGCAATGACTTCTATTCATATCGGAATCAGGTATTGTACCTTTCCTATTGTACTTTTAAAATCTTTAACTTATTTGATCTTTAGTGGTGTTTATTTGCTCATATGTTTTTCCTATCATGTTCTTTCTCTTTTACTACAATTGAAACATCTACTATAATGATTATGCTTTCTGAGCTACTAGAATGAAAGTGATTTTTTGAATCATCTTATCTATATCATTAATGTATTGTTACAAATTTGCACATTATTATACTTGAGATGTTTCCATAGGCCAATGTTTAGAGCAAGCCAAAGTTTAACAGATTGAACTGTGTAAGTTTTCCATGCTTCTAGGTGGGGTTTATCATGTGAGATTGGAAAAGGGAAAGTTTTCTGCAGTTTACAGTAGTCAATGATATGTTCGCTTTTCACCATAAGTGCTTTCTTCTGCTCAGGTTTCTCTCTCTTCCTCTCTCTTTCTCTCTCTATATATACAATTATATTTTGTCCTCATAAAGTATTATTGAATTCTTACCTTGGCCCTTAAAGTTTATTTTTTCCAATTTGGTCTCTGAACTATATGATCATTCCCAATTTGGCTCAATTCCCAACTGCCGTCCAAATTATTGACATAAATTGGCACGTGGCACTCTTTGGCCCCACATGGCATATTAAATAACCATTCATTTTGGTACATGTATGATTGCATTAGTGTTACACTTTGGCATTACAATTCATCAATGATCATTGATCAAAACATAGCATGAAAACATTCAACTTTGTCAGATATCAAGAGCTCTGTGGCAGAGCTTATGATGGGAATGAGCTGAGAACATGAAAAACAAAAAAAGGTTAGGAAGTTATAGAAGACTGTTTTTGATAGTGTCCTTTTGGGGACAATATTGTAACAAGGGCTACTTCATTAGGTGTATTTTTCTACAAACTTTCACTAGAATTTGTCTTATTTATGAGTTTTCCTTATTTGGAATTGCAGGATGTAGTTAAAGGAAAAGCGTTAGAGGAAGTCATTGGTGATGTGCTGAATGGCAAATGGGACCATGAGAGGACTACACAGAAGAGAATGAATTGTTTTTTCCATAGAAGTCTGCTACATATTGAATCCCTTAGTAGTTGGCATTGTTTTTTCCTTAAGAGCACTACTAGAAAATTGACTTTTTGCGTCTTTTTTCTTTCTTTTTTTTTTGCGATTGTCTGTTTGGCCATGGCAAAAAATATATTTGTAACAGCATTATGAGAAGCAAGTCAGGGGTGGTAAAAGGTCTAGTTTATGAGTGGGCTTTATATTTGCCCAATTTATATTTGCCCCCATTTATTTCTCCTATTTTCTTTTATTTATATTTGCCCTGGCCAAGCATGCTTAAACGCTCGCTCGCTCTCTCTCTCTCTCTCTCTCCGAGGTTCTGTTCTTGTTGCTCACATTGCATATATATACATATATAGATATATAATCTAAAAACCAAGCATGCAAGAATCAACTGTTGTATAGAACATCTTGTCGAATCGATTCTAATAGGCTGATTTGCTATAGGATTTTTCGGCTCCAATGGGGCAGATTTTGGATAGACTACAGGCATTTGGTGAATTTGAGGTATTGGATTGTTATTGAGAAGAATTTGTTATATTCACCATTGCAAATTGAATTGGAGTGAAAACAAGTTAAAATGATAGAAAAATGCTCTGTGGAGATCAATTTAGTAACAATGCATTCTAATGACATGTTTGTTGCTCGCTATGTTGTTTATGGTGATTTGTATAATATTGTTGCAGTTCAAACATTTTGGGGACAAGGTTATTGTTGAGGAACAAACAGAGAGGTACATTTGAATGCAGTTTGATGAGACATATATGTGCAATTGTACTGTATAGTCTGTTTTTAGTGGTGTATAATGTTGCTTAGTTAGAGATATTGCTCTTTGATTGTTTTTGAATTGGCATTTTTCATTTCATTTTTCTTTTGAGATTTTAGTTAATATTGTTTTGTAGGGGATATGAATGAGATATTTCGTGGAAGTTCATTTCTTGAATTAAGAAGTGCGTGATTTTATCCTCTGTGGAAAATAGCTCACTTAAGGTCTTTCTCATCGGAAATAGAAATAACACGTTTTTTAATTTTTAATGCATTTTAATTTTTGATATGTGTATGCATACTCTCTCTCTCTCTCTCACACACGCACACACCCACACCCACACACGTATTTTTGAAGTATTATGTTGATCAATAATACAATACTTGCTTCTTGAAACTAGCATTTGATGATTAGACTTTTATTTGTAAATTTTTTAGGATTGCATAAGTCAATGTTACATGCCTTAAACGCAAGCAACAAGTATGGTAGGACAAGATTATTTGTTGTTTATCTTTGAAATATTTTGTAGAACTGTGTTTGATGTTTATCAGTTTGGATTTTTATTTTTTATTTTTTATTTTTTAAATTTAGATGACCAACTTGGTGGTCAAATGTGTGATATTCTGTGGAAATATAAGAGTAGTTGTAGAGAAATGACCCTTCGCCACTTATTTGACAGGAACCATTTCTGGGGATTTTTTTCCTGATGCACCCATTGCAACACTCTTTTTTTTTTGGCTAGACAAGTTTACATTTACTAACCGAGACTTCCTATGTACAGGTATTATACTAATTATGGTCTTCTATTTAACTGTGGATACAAAAAGTTGTAGTAGCCTTAACTTGAAAAGGTTAATAGTTTAGTGTTTGCGTCATTTTACTACTTGGATTGTCTCTCTCTCTCTCTCTCTCTCCATAGATGAGAATATAAAAACATCTTTATCTAGCTATCTGTTTGTTCGTCTCATGAGCCTGTATTTGTTTATTTGTTTTGGATTCTGGTTGCAAGATGTGATGATAGATTCATTATTGATTTGAGGCACTGTTTTCTTGGTTTATGATTTCTTTTGCTCCTCTGTTTGAGGAGCAAAAGATATGGCTGTAAAAGTGCTTCAAAATGTGTTCAACCTAGATTTTTTTCCTTTTGAGTAGATCGCAATTGAACTTTAATTGAACCATAATGAGCTGAGCTCAAATAGTTTGGTGTTATTATTATTATTATTATTATTATTATTATTATTATGCATTTAATCTTATTGAGCCAAGTAGTATCTTGTTCAAGCTTGACTTGAAAAATTAATGAGCTGAACATGAGTTGAGCTCAAGTAGTTTAGTTTCTTTTACAATGAGAGAGAGAGAGAGAGAGGGTGGGTGGGAATTTGGTCGATGGTGGCAGAACGGTGAAGATTAACTAAATCACCAATGTTTGACTGGATTGTACCAGTGAGATTGTTAAGGATGAGGCTGAGTTCTAACAAAGTAGTGCAGTTGTATATGCCAGGTATGCTTCCATTAAAGAGAGTATTCCCAAAGTCTATATACTGCAAATTCCTAAGGTTTCCTAGTTCTAGTGGAATTAGACTGGAAAGAGAATTATCACAAACAGTTGGCTCTAAAGGATTAAGATATGTTTGTTAATTGAATGATAGAATAGGTTCCCAAAACTTGAATTCTTTTATTTTGAAAGTAGTTCTAGAATTTGAATTGGTACTGATGATTAATTCTTCTGTTAGGAGCGAAACTCTTGCAGAATTTATATGCTAAGAATTTTCAGTGGAAACACTAATAATTGTTTTCACTTGCAAGACAGATATGAATCAGTTCACAAAAAATATTTTAAAATTAGGCCAGCAGTGGTTGTCACAGTGACAGTGGTAGGCTGTCACAGTGACAGGTAGTAGAATTACATTTTTGCCCCTATTGATTTACTTTGAAAAATGTGAGAATAGGGATAAAATTGTCATTTTAATTACAAACATCATTTCAACACATTTTTCAATACACCAACTCAAATAAAAATCTATCCCATCTTCCCAAACACAAAAACTAAAATAGCCTACTAAAATAGTCAAAAAGCCAAAAAGCCTCTAAAATAGCCACTTCCCAAACGAGGCCTATATCTCCAATTGTTATCATTGTTGGGTGGTCAAGAAGGCCCGGTGCTTCGGGTCCTTATCATTTTGTATATTTTGCATTACTTCATCAATGAGAATATTTTGTCTTATGAAATTATGTAAGGCCATTGATGTTGCAATTAAGGGAACTTGTACTCTCCAAAAATTGTATTTCATCATGTTTCTCAAGATGCCCCACCTTGATTTCTACGTACCATCGCAAAGTCTTAAATGACATTTGTTACAAATAATTATTTATTATAAAAATTATATATGCATTTGTTACAACAAAAATATCAATTGCAAGAACTTAACAATTTTTTTTAGATGAAAAATAACATAAAATTAACAAATTAATTTAAAGATGTAAAAAAAATATCAACCTATATTTTCATATATATATATACCCATACATCTCATAAAAATAAAAAAATTCTTACTACAACAATTTATCTATATATTGCAACTAAAACAAATTTGAAAAATTAGAGATGAGAAGCTTAGAGACCTAACAACCTTATCAACACACAATGTTCACCAAAATCTCTAACTACAAATAAAACACCTAAACAATAACCCATGACAAGTAATGAGACTACGAATTTTTACGTAGCTGTGAACTAACCAAAGAAATGGTTCCCCCTTTTGAATTCTTATCAAAACACAAGTTGCGAGACAAGCCGATCTCTCTCTAGTGTATAGGAACATTGTTGAGGGTTTTATTGCGAAGTAAATAGACTTTATTGTGCACTCAATGAGAAATATGTTTAGATTGTCCTACGATTTAAGGGTTGCCGGTTTCAAATTCAACAGCTGATTTTGGATTATTACGTATACAAAACGTGAAAACTAAGGATGCAGTAACAAACATGACCCTACGAGGTGCCCACTTCAAGCAAGAAGCAATGCCTATGTGGCTGTCGTAGATTGCCACCTATGCATCGACGATAGAGTAGTGTATAGTTATGCAAATAATTATTCCCATGTTCAAACAAAACTCTTTTCATTATCCACCATGTATAGTTATGCCATTTTTAAAATTATATGTAGAAGCTAGTAGTGTTTTTGGGTGATGAAACATGTATAAATACAAATAGTTCGAGAAAGAAGTACCTTCATAAACTTACCCAAATTAAATCTGTTTGAATTTTTAAATATTCAATTAATTGGTTGTTAACTTAGGATTGTTGGTAGCAAAAAGTAACTTGAAGACTCAAATTTGGCCTGCCAACAAGCTCTAACTTTAAAGGACTCATCATCATGCATAAACTAGAAGTCTACAATACAACTACTAATAGATTCAATATGTAGCGAACTCTCAACTAAAAAAAATCATTTTTTGTGACTGCTGGATGCTGCCACAAATAACAAAAATGCAGTCACAAAAAATCTTTTGCGATGATCATGTAACGGCAAATAGGGAATGCAAATGTGGGGTGGAAAATACTTTTGCGACCGCAATACAGTAGTCACAAATTATTTGCGATAGGAAAATGCTAGAGGTCCCAAATTTTCTACCAAATAAATGACCAAATGTCTCACATGGGTGTGGGATCCACAAAATTGCGGATCCCACACCCATGTGAGACATTTGGTCATTTATTTGGTAGAAAATTTGGGACCTCTAGCATTTTCCTATCGCAAATAATTTGTGACTACTGTATTGCGGTCGCAAAAGTATTTTCCACCCCACATTTGCATTCCCTATTTGCCGTTACATGATCATCGCAAAAGATTTTTTGTGACTGCATTTTTGTTATTTGTGGCAGCATCTAGCAGTCACAAAAAATGATTTTTTTTAGTTGAGAGTTCGCTACATATTGAATCTATTAGTAGTTGTATTGTAGACTTCTAGTTTATGCATGATGATGAGTCCTTTAAAGTTAGAGCTTGTTGGCAGGCCAAATTTGAGTCTTCAAGTTACTTTTTGCTACCAACAATCCTAAGTTAACAACCAATTAATTGAATATTTAAAAATTCAAACAGATTTAATTTGGGTAAGTTTATGAAGGTACTTCGTTCTCGAACTATTTGTATCTATACATGTTTCATCACCCAAAAACACTACTAGCTTCTACATATAATTTTAAAAATGGCATAACTATACATGGTGGATAATGAAAAGAGTTTTGTTTGAACATGAGAATAATTATTTGCATAACTATACACTACTCTATCGTCGATGCATAGGTGGCAATCTACGACAGCCACATAGGCATTGCTTCTTGCTTGAAGTGGGCACCTCGTAGGGTCATGTTTGTTACTGCATCCTTAGTTTTCACGTTTTGTATACGTAATAATCCAAAATCAGCTGTTGAATTTGAAACCGGCAACCCTTAAATCGTAGGACAATCTAAACATATTTCTCATTGAGTGCACAATAAAGTCTATTTACTTCGCAATAAAACCCTCAACAATGTTCCTATACACTAGAGAGAGATCGGCTTGTCTCGCAACTTGTGTTTTGATAAGAATTCAAAAGGGGGAACCATTTCTTTGGTTAGTTCACAGCTACGTAAAAATTCGTAGTCTCATTACTTGTCATGGGTTATTGTTTAGGTGTTTTATTTGTAGTTAGAGATTTTGGTGAACATTGTGTGTTGATAAGGTTGTTAGGTCTCTAAGCTTCTCATCTCTAATTTTTCAAATTTGTTTTAGTTGCAATATATAGATAAATTGTTGTAGTAAGAATTTTTTTATTTTTATGAGATGTATGGGTATATATATATGAAAATATAGATTGATATTTTTTTTACATCTTTAAACTAATTTGTTAATTTTATGTTATTTTTCATCTAAAAAAAAATTGTTAAGTTCTTGCAATTGATATTTTTGTTGTAACAAATGCATATATAATTTTTATAATAAATAATTATTTGTAACAAATGTCATTTAAGACTTTGCGATGGTACGTAGAAATCAAGGTGGGGCATCTTGAGAAACATGATGAAATACAATTTTTGGAGAGTACAAGTTCCCTTAATTGCAACATCAATGGCCTTACATAATTTTATAAGACAAAATATTCTCATTGATGAAGTAATGCAAAATATACAAAATGATAAGGACCCGAAGCACCGGGCCTTCTTGACCACCCAACAATGATAACAATTGGAGATATAGGCCTCGTTTGGGAAGTGGCTATTTTAGAGGCTTTTTGGCTTTTTGACTATTTTAGTAAGCTATTTTAGTTTTTGTGTTTGGAAAGATGGGATAGGTTTTTATTTGAGTTGGTGTATTGAAAAATGTGTTGAAATGATGTTTGTAATTAAAATGACAATTTTATCCCTATTCTCACATTTTTCAAAGTAAATCAATAGGGGCAAAATTGTAATTCTACTACCTGTCACTGTGATAGCCACTACCGGTCTAATTTTTTTTTTTTTTTTTTTTTAAAACCTATGAACAGTGTTGCTTTTTGGCTTTTTTCTCAAATGAGGCTATAATAGCCTCATTTCCGGCTTCCCAAACAGCGCTATAATGATGCCAGGAGATGAAGACATTAAAATGGTAGATGTGAGGGCGACTATTGCATGAGCCTTGGCCACGCGAGCGCAAGCACAGTATCTTTGTTCGCAGATTTGTTGGTGAGGACAATGGGAAGTAGATTACAAGATTGTTTCTGTGTATATGAAAAATATAAATCATGTTATTTTTGACATTATGTTTTTGTTTGTTAAAGATAAAAAAAAATAATAATAATTAATGTCATCAAACGTTGATGGTAAAAACAAACCAATTTTTTTTAAGATTTATTTATGTACGGATCAAAAAATAAAAAAACTTTTAGATCATCATCAAATCTTTGTGTATTGGCAACTGTGAATTTTTATTATGCAAAATCATGACCCCAAGTGGAGATTGAAGGGAATAACCAGGTTGTTATTCACCTGTGTCTCTGAAAATGTTCATCTTGGGAGTGTGGTGCAATATTTACTGATATTGAGCGGATGGCAGCTCAAGGGAGCTTCTCTTTTAGTTGGAGGTCGAGAACCGCCAACAAGGCTGCTCATTAGGATGGCCCAAGCCTCTCTCCATGGTCGCTTTCGTCTTGATTGGGTTGCCAACCCCCAACAGAGCTTGCTTTACTTCTTAAATCCTCTTAGGTTAGGCTTTTCCTTTGCTTGCTGCTGTGAGCTTTCTTTCGGGATGTGTTTGCCTTTGTTTTTGGGTTCCTCTGGTTTAAAGCTTCCTATAATCAAAATATATATATACATAAATAAAATAAAACGAACCGGTACAAAATTAATTTGACGATAAGAAAAACACATTTGTACAATTGTTAACAAATGTGGTCAAATAGATTGGAGCAATAGTGTTATTTTATAAATATGTACGTGTTTTCACAACACTTTTTTTTTCTTTTTTTTTTTTTCGAAACAAGAATGTCGCAAAAAATTGGGTGAAAGAATTTTTTAATTTGACAAGTTTGGCTTGATTATGGCTTTTGAAATTTTTGATCAAAATCATCATGCCCAACACCCAAAAAAAAAAAAAAACATTTTCAACATACAAAATTATGATGCAAAAAAATAATTGTTACAATTTCTATAAATTATTTCACATAAACATTTTTTCAATTACATGTTTTCAACATTGTCTAATATTTCGTTTTTTACAAAAATAAAGCATACATATTTTATAAAAACAAAATGTTTGATTATGAATTTTAAAAAATAGTTCATAAAAAAAAAATCTAGAGAAAACGCCCGTTTGTGTATGGTTTTT